ATACAGGAAAAAACATAGCATATATAGGGTTCAGTACTCTCCGTAACATGAGGCAGCTACTGGGTGTCCCTGCACATATCCCTGCACATAGGAGGGACTACTGTATTTTGCTGATGAATTTGAGAAGTCAACAGTGTTGATAAGTAGTCCTGTTAGTCAGATTTATGTTCTGCCAAGCCCTGTTAGCCCCCTCGCTCCAGCCAGAATTAAACACAATGAATTTTTTTTTTTGAGGGGGCCTCTCTCATATTTATTGATCAAATGGTTAACAACAATAAAATTCTGTATAGGGGACTCAATGCACAATCATTAATCAACCCCAAGCCTAACTCTCTACAGTCTCCAATCTTCTGAAGCATAACGAACAAGTTCTTACATGGTGAACAAGTTCTTATGTAGTGAATAAGTTCTTACACGGTAAACAGTGCAAGGGCAGTCATATCACAGAAACTTTCAGTTTTGATCACGCATCATGAACTATAAACAATCAAGTCAGATATGATTATTTGTTTGATTTTTATACTTGATTTATATGTGAATCCCACATTTCTCCCTTATTATTATTATTATTTTTTTTAATAAAATGCTGAAGTGGTAGGTAGATGCAAGATAAAGGTAGAAAACATAATTTAGTGCTGTAAGAGGGCAAATGTAGATGATCAGGTCTGTGCCTATAGACTAAGTATTAATCCAAGCTAGACAAGGGCAACAAAACATCCACGGATGCAGAAGATTTCTCTCAAAACAGGGGGGGTGAGGTTCTAAGCCTCACCTCTGTTGATCCCCAATTTCTCACCTGATGGCCCCCCTGCAACTGTGCCTGTCTTAGGTTGTTCCTCCTTTGAGGAATCTTACCCGTCTCTGGCTAACCAGTCATCTTCCGGGGCCACACAGGGAAATGTAAAGTTGGTAAGCGAGAGAGAAGCAATATTGTTTGAAAAGGTTAGCTTTTTACTTCTTTGCAGATTTATGACCTGTGGCTTCTATGCCCAGCATTTGTCTTGAGGTATCTTTACCACTTGGAAGAATTATGAAACTTGGTAATTTTCTATATGAGGCACGAATTCTACTAAAGGGTTGTAATTAGGAAGGAAGAAGAAAAGCTATAGAAGAAGCAGATGGAAGAAAACATGGGAAGATTGATTATTTCTTTGACATATCTTCTTGTAGAGTAACATAAGCATGTATAGGTTTTAACAAACTACTAATTAAATTGCACACACATTAACATAATAGGAATACAGCTACATAACAAATGCAGACCTACAATTACCAGCCATATCCAGTGAAACCAAGAAAACCAGTTAGGTACCCTAGGCATTTGTGAAATCTTATCAATGATATGATGGTACACAATGAATTTTTAAAGACCTACGGGAAGATGGCCTCCATTATGAAAACAAAGCAACACGAACAAGGTTTCAGCACAAGCGTCTGGCACTCTCCCGCAGACTGAGCACACTTCTGAGCTCAGGTTTGCCTCTTTGTGCACAGTTCATTTTTCCCTCTGATCCAGGGCCCAGGTCATCAGGAACTTTCCTTCCCCAACTGTGACCTAATGTAGCTATGGCCCTCTTTTCTGCATTTCCCTTCAGAACACCTGGAATAAGCTTTTTTTTAAAAAGAATTTCACAGAGACATGAAAAAATAAAACAGAAAATATTAACAAATAGAATATATTTTTAATATTCCAACCTATGAACTTCTGTGTCACACATTCTTTCAAAACAGACTCGCTGCCACCTGATCATCATTTCAAGCATACGTGGGTTCTCCCAACCTAAAAGCCCACTAGGAACATTTTTCACTTGTGCATTTTCATTTTTATGATAATCTAAAGAATACTAGGAGTCTGTTCTTGACCACTGGGATAACCATCTACAACCAACCATGCTGCCAAGTGAGCTGCTAAACAAACTTTAACACACTTTCAGAAGACTACAAAGTCTGAAGTTTGGAAAAGGTTGTGTTAACATATCTACGTTTTACTTTAGGCCTAACTGAACAGAACAGCCATGAAGAAGTTCAAGTCTTACAACAGAGGGAAGGAACCAGGACTGAAGAAGGATTCAAAGGAAACATCGGCTGAATCTACAATGTCTAATCTGTTAAAAATTTGTTAACTGGCAGCGATGAATACATCAGTATTTGTTATATTATTCTCTGTACTTTACCTGTGTTTTTTAAATTGTCATAATAAAAGCAAAAAAAGGGAAGTAAAAAGGGGGAGAACACGGATAAAATAATTGTGGTAACACTTTAAACACATTTAACTCTGGAATTGTCAAATACTTCATACAATAAACAACCTTAAGCAAAAATGGTTTGATTAACCTTAAAACCTTAAAAAGAGTTTTTTTTAAGTTAGACTGGATTATCAGACTTATATAATATAGATTTCTAACAAAGCTCTCTGAACCTCAGTCTCTCATCTGTAAATGGAATCGGCAAACCTATCCTCCAGAGGTTACTATGAAAATAAAATCGACACACAAGAAGAAGCCGTTAAAGCCTAGCGCACAGTGAGTTCTCACTATATGTGAACTTCCTTACTTCTCCTTGAATGCACTTACTATTTTAACTCAAAGCCATTTTCTTTTTATCTGCCTTTTTCAGAGTAGCTGTTGGCTTCAAATGTCACCTAAATTCATGCAAAAGCAATATACTCTCTAAGTTTATTCTTTTTATACCCAATTCTCAAAGTACTTGGAGAACATTCAATCTGTTTTGTTCTACCTTCTGAGTTGATATAAATATTGAGAACTAACTTGGCGACTATTTTTTAAAGTGTTCTGGCACACTGCACATACAGCTGAGTTAGAAGCACATTAAAAGGGCAAAGAGATGCATCTATTAAAAAACTGAGAACAGGACGTATAGTCTGTATCAAATGAGGGATCTCTGTGAAAAACCTTCTGGCATTCCCCCAGAGAGGATTTTCCTGTGTGTACACTCTCTATAGAATGATTTAATGCTGCAATCTGGAATAATAAAAATTTGCTTTACCTGTCCATATTTCCCAGCTGAACAGGTGGCCATAAGTTGTTGATATGGTCTGCACTATGCAGTTTCTGCTGAGCCTGCTTTTTGTCTGTTTTTTTCATAATTCTGATATATAAGTTACCTGCAGCAGAGTCCTCCTCCAATCACAATGGCCCTAGGAAATAATTTCCCATGATTTGGTATCTCGCTGAACTTAGAGAATATCCTTGACATGTTTGCTCTGTCCCCTTCTTAAGCACACAGATGACTCTTCTAGAAAAAATAACTTAAGAAATCTAGAGTAAGGCAATCAGAAGACTTATGACCTTTCCAGTAAGGTCACCGGCAGAAAGCCCAAGAGTTACTTATGAGGTGTACAAGTGTACATCAATGTTGGTGGTTCAGTTTTCTAGCTGTACTCAAGGAGTTACCATTCATCAGACATACAGCTCCTGCCTCTGCTCCCAGATGACACTCCCAGCAGCTCCCATATCTGGAGTTCCACAGCACTCTGTTCAGATCCTCAGGGTGGCTCTAACTATACTGTACTTTAACTGCTGTGTTTACATGACTTTTCCTCTAGAAGGTAGGAGTCACATTTTACTTTTCTTTGTTATTTCCAGTAACAAGGCACTGACTGGCACATAGAAGAGGGGATAGAGAGGGTAAAAGAGTGAGGGAAGGATGGCAACTCAAGTCCTGATCAGGTGTCCAAAAACTTAAATTGCATTAGAATAATAGAAAGAAGTTGTTCTCAAACTTTTTCACTGAAATAAACCATCTCTGTCAATTTACACTACCAAAAATGAAACCTGAAGTCCCTAAACTAACAGAACTGTTTTTAAGGCAATATCAATAATGAAGAAGATTTAGGTAACATTACAAGTAACTAATTCATTCACGCCAGAAACTGAAGTATAGTCATTATCACATTATAACATACCCGTAGTACATAGCTGCTCTAACTCTTGTGTTAAGATTTCTGTTAGTACAAAAATGACAGATTTCCAAGTAGTGACAGAAAAAAGTTGGTCCTAGGGTATTCTTCCCCATACTGGAGTAACATCTTCTAAGATTCTCTTTTCTCTACCACTAAATTCTGTAGTGGAAAGCAAAGCAAAGAGGACATCAACTCATCAGCTAGCTCCATGGAATGCTGGGAGAGCACCAGGCCAAAAGCACCAGAGGACTAAGGCGCTACTCTGCAACCACCTGGCTATATAGCCAGAGAAGGCCACTGCACTGTTCTGAGGCTTGGTTTTCTCATATATAAATTAACAGTGCTGACATACAGTTTGGAGAACACCCATGTACTTCTTAAGAGCTTAGGATTCTACTTGAGAGGAGGAAAGAGCACATCACACATGAAGGAGAGGCCAAGCAGAGAGCTTTGCAACTTCTGTCAGTCAAAACAACTCAGGCTCCACAGCCGTGTTAAGAGTTAGCAAAAATGGCAAATGAACCAAACAGCATCTCATCCTATATTTTAAAAATGTCTTCTCCCAAGCTAATCCAATTTCACATTTATTTCTACTTTAGTACATATTACCAGCAAATGGCCTCATTCATTCAGCATATTTTGGATATCTACCAAATAAAAGCATTACTCCAGGTTCTATGGGAACCATAGCCCAGCATTTTAAGTCATTTGAGATCAAAATCAGAAAAAAATTATAAAGCAAATGTAAGAGCAAAACCTGTATTACTCTTCCAAGATCCTGGAGTTATTTTCAGGGAGTTATTGGTGCAGAAATTAATGTATTAGCCACAGGCAAGCTCTCATTTTCTGCTACCTTAATAATTTGAAAAAACAGTGACAGGAGAAGGCAATCACCAAGAGCAGCAGCACTGATGAATCATGACGGTATTAATGCATACTTCACAGACCCATGGAAAATCCTGCAACGAACTTATCAGAAGAAGTATCAGAACCTTGCCAAACATGACCGAAACCAGTCCCATTCAACTTCTATTCTTAAAATCAACACTGTGGGACAAGGGCTCCGATCCTCACTTACATTCTTCTAGTATGTCACTCCTCAAGTAAGTACACAGGAATGACTCAGCCAACGAAGTTCATGACCACAAGGTGGAGGATGGTGCTGGCAAAGAGAAAATCAGCAAAGGCTCGCTCTGGGGAAATGCCTTGGAAATCCACTTTGTTCTGTGGGTTGATCTGTATTCTCAGGCAAACTGTGTAAGAAGCAAAACAAAAAAATGATTATCTAAAAGTACCAAACAAATATGACTGCTAATGAACAAACATCTACCCTATGACCCAACAGTTCTAACAGAAACGATGTGTAAGTGCATCAAAAGGCATGTACAGGAATGATAACATGACAGCCCCAAACTAGAAGCAATCTAAATGTCTATCAAACAGTAAAATGGATAAATGAGAGCATATGTGAACAATCAAGCACTATAAAGCAATGAAAAAGAACTTCACAACATGGATGAATTCCACAAATATAATGTTGGGCAACACAATTCAGACACAAAAAGTACATGCTGTATGATTCCATTTATATGAAGATTAAAATGAGGCAAAATCAATCAATAGTAATACAAGTCAGGATAGTGGTTTTTATGTTTCACAGAAGGAGGGGGTAATTGGGAAGGTGCAGAGGTCTCCAAGGTAATGTTCGACATCTCGATCTGGGTGGTGGCTGGGTGGGTGAATTTAAAAATTGATCAAATTGTACACTTAAGTTTTACACTCTTAATGGTTTGTTAAAGGAAAAAATATCACTTGCCAGAGTTAGGCTTAAAATCAAAGGCTTGCTATGAAAAATATATATATAATCAAAAACATCTTCAGAATTCTTAACTCCTCATTTAACTACACATATGCCTAGACTGGGAAGTAGGTGAGGCAGTAACAAAGGGGTTACGCTGAATAACAAGATAAAATTGATGATTTTCTAATAAAATAATTAGAATAATATTGGATGTATAATATATTAGATAACAGAAATTATAAATATAAGATGCTTATCCATGAGGACCTCATAGTTATACATATCTTCAATCTCAAAGTTCTAGCAGCTGCTTATCTCAAAAAAGGTAAGAAACCTAAGCTATGTGACTAAGCTTGTGACTTCGACAAGAACTCTCCACTGCCACATTTTATACCCTTAAGATTCCAACTGACACATTAGCCAGTCACCATTTGACATGAAAAGGGAGCTCTAGGAAAACACTTTTCCAAAATATTTTTATGCCTGTGGTAAGTGATAACACTAAGAAAATCCAAATTTGCTTCAGGCTAGTATCCATTCCTTCACTAACAAGAAAAGACAACCAACGGAGACCCTAACACAAAGATCAAATAACTATGAGACTAGTTCTGCAGAGTCCATCACCATGGTAACAGAGTTTTCATTATGTTTAAACACTGTGGAAACACCACTGATCTTTTCAGGCCCCTAGACCTTCAGAGTACGAAGGACACTGACTGAGGCAAGGGCAACCAATTAAAATCCTGCTGTGGGAGCACTGATTGGTTTATCCACCTGGGAGCACTGGCAATATCTATTAATATTTGTTTTACCTTTTGACTAAAGAATTTATTTTACAGAACAAAGACATCCTAACAATATGTTTGTAAAGTTAGAAAAAAGTGAAAACAGTCCAAATGTCATCAAGGGGATTATACAAATTACATTACTGACATGCAACGACATCCCATCAATTTCTCAAAAGAATCAGATAAAGTCTCTACATGCTGACATCCAAGATATATTAAGTGAAAAAAAAGCCAATTACCCCAATCCTATTTCTTTAAAAAAAAAAAAAAGGTGTATGTAAGGCAGAAACAAACCATTATTTTCTCCTTTAAAATGTTTTAGATGGAATCTAAAAAATCTGGAGAAGTAGATACCAAACTATTTTAACAGTGGCTACAGGGGTGGAGGATGGGGGTAGTGTTTCAGAAAATATAAAAGAGAAGCTTTCCACTAAGGTGAGTAAGGTAACGAACTGATGTGTTATCATTACCATGATCATATTAACCCAGGTATGTTCCATAATAACATAAGACTCACAGTCCCACAGGATGGAAGGGACCATGGAGGTCATAAAGACCAACACCCCATTTGATACATAAAATGCCCAAGAAATGGTACACCTGGGCACACTGGAGGAGTCTGCCTGAAATCACCTGGGAAGCTTTCCAAGCTATACTGACACTTCCAGAATCTGATGAGCCATCCCCAGGTAGACAACTACAAACCTACCAGAGCCTGTGTCACAGATGGGGTGTACAATCCCTGAGATGCACTCAGGAATAATGGCAAAAAAATGCCTGTTTCAAAAGCTCCTACACAATGAACCTTCAGTCTCTCCCTGAGCACTTCCAAAGAGGGAAATTCACTCCCTCCTGAGGCAGCCTCTCCATTTTAGCAGTTCTAACTATCTCCTTAAATGTCCATTCATCCAGCAAAATATTTACTGAGCATCTATGTGCAATGCATTGTCCTAAGTACTGAGAATAAGGCACAGGACAGACAAGCCTGGCTCCCAAAGAACTTACACCCGATGAAGAGAAACATATTAATTAATAAGTAAATTAACATGCAAACATCAGGTAGTGGTATGTGCTATGAAGAAAATAAAACAAGGTAATAACAGAGTAACTGGGAAGTTATTTTTTATTTGGCACTCACAGAAGGCCTAAGACGGTGTTATTTAAGACCAAAACTTGAAATACAGGAGCCAAGCATGCAAAGATCTAGAGGCAAAGCATTCCAGGTAGCAGGAACAATCCTGACATGTTCAGACTAACCAAACTGAAATGATCAAGGGCAAGTGGGAGACATGGGCCAAATCCTATGGGGCTTTGTAAGCCTCAGGAAAAGAGTCTGGATGTAGGTCTAAGTTCTAAGTGCAATGGAACAACATTTCAGAGTTTTGAGCAGATGAGTAAAATAGCCTGACTTAAATTTTTTAAGATTGCAAGAACTGCAATGTGGAGAATGGTTTGCAGAGTTAAAGAAGCAGAAGAATCACATAAGAGCCAAAGAGCTGAGGCAATGGTAGTAAAAACGGACAGAAAGCTGTATTTTGCAGAAGACAAGGCTTACTGATGAAATGGATCTGGGAGATAAGAAAAATCAAGAAACCTCCTCAATTTTTGGCTGCAAGAACTCAACCACTGTTGACACTGTGTACTGACTGGTGAAGAGGCAGATGACTGAGAAGGAAGGTTCCATTTAGAGTTTCATATAAGACTTTAGAAGTGAAGATGTCAGGTGACCAAATGGATTTGCTAATTTGGAACTCAAGGAACAAGTCAAAACTAAAAATCTTAAGTGTGGTAATTGCAATTCTACAAACATTAAATTCACCTACAGAAAGAAACAGAGAAGAGGTATAGAATCATGTCCTCACCAGAGAAGCACCTTGCACAGCACCCAATAGGAAGGAAAAACCATTGAGGTAAGAACAACCAGGAAAGTGTATGGTTGTAAAAGCTTCAAGAAGAAAATACTTCACACAGAAGCTGCAGCCAACTATGTTAAATGCTGAACACTGCTGAGCATTCAGGTAAGGTGAGGCAAATGGCCATTAGTTTGCCAAGATGGCAAGAATAGTTTCACTGGTATGGTGGGGAGAGACCACCAAAGGCGGTAATGGAATAAATGGAATGTGAGAAAGCAGAATCAGCAACTGGACTATTCTTTAAAAGGAATTCTTTGATGATGGAGAAGAAAGAAATGGAATGGCATCTGGAGGGGTACTGAGCTTAAACGAAAATTTAATTGCACAATATTAGACCATGTTTACATGTTGGAAATGATCCAATCGAGAGGGTGAGAGATTAATGATGCAGAATGGAAGGATGGCTGCAGAAGATGAGTCCCAGAGTGAGCAAGAGAAGACTGGTTCCTCCGCACATTTGATAGGAAAGGGACACATCATCCATCATCATGGGAAAGAAGTTATAGGCGGGGTACAGTTGTAGGTAGGCTGCTATGATTCCTGGGTGAGAAGACAAAAGGAAGTCTGTCTGTTTTTTGTGAAAAATAAAAGCAAGTGAAAAAATAAAGCAAGATCATCAACTGAGAATAAAGGAAATAAGGAAATACAGAAGAAAGTGTAAAGAGAAATTATCAAAAGAAAAATTAAGGTATCAAGGAAACCTAAGTTTTGAAGCATATTTTGGAAAAGTAAACATTAAGGAAATATTACAGGACCACCAGGCAGGACTTAGTGTCCATTTGCTTTCCTATTCTCACCAATACTACTCCATCACAGCACTACTCACAGTTACTTGTCTGTATCTCCCACTATATTATAAACTCTGTGAGTGCAGAGACTACATCTGTGTGTTTCAAAGTTGAATCCTCAGTACCTTGGCAGAGAACCTAGCAGATAAGAGCCTAGCATTCCTTTCATTCTTATAGGTATACTCATACATGCTCATACAGTGTTATGCACTGAGGATGCAGAGATGAAAGGACTACCCTTATCCTCAAGGGGCTAACCTTCCAGAGGGAAGACAGACACACAAATACACATAATACCGATGTGCCATCTTTCTCTCTCCCTCATACAGACACACACACACACACACACAAACACACACACACACATACATACATACATACCAGACTACAGAACTTTTTCCTACAATTCACCCTACGTAAAAAACTAACACCAATTTTAAGTTGCTCCCTTACCAAATTATTTTTTAATCTTTACATTCTTTCCTATTACCTACAGGATAAAAATCCAAATTCCTTGGCCTGGTACTCGAAGCTCTAGTACGCAGCACTTCCTAATCTTTCGACATACTCTCCTACAATTCCCATTCTCCAGTCAAACTGGCCTCCTCCCTTCTCTTCTTCCAAGAATAAATAAACCATAGGAAAGGTAAAAATCCCAGCACCATAAATATGTGCAAAGCTTCCCTCCCCAACAATCACAACAAAGGATAAATTCCAAATTTCAAATTTCCCATTAAAACCAGTCTTCCATTGAGATCTGGGCCAACAAATTGCGGAGGAGATACAATTTGGCAAGGTCAATATTGTCAAAAAGAAATGCAAATTATATCCTTTGGTGTAACTGCAATGTCATGAATCCTGTTTTCCTGAAGGAACTTGCATTTCTCTGGCCCAGTTACCTGTTATCTGACAGCTTCAGAAATCTCAGCCCCCTCACTCCACTAGTAATGTATTCTTTCACTAAGTATTCACTTCAATGGCAAGCCATGACTCTCCATGAGAGAGGAAAGAAAGGAATCTGCCAATTCAATTTTAGCCACAACAGCCTGAAAAACAGGTCTTGGCATAAGGAAAAATTACCCACTCAAAAAATCTTCTGGCTTTATCACACTTATAATCTACAACACTAGTCCACACCCACTCCTCAGTAGATTATACTCTTCCATGTAGCCCTGAGGAGGCATTCTTAACCATAGAGCCTTATGAAGCCAGGGTGACTTCAGCAAAAAGGCTCCTTTTTTTAAATCAGCTTTCAGGCCCCATCCTATTCTTATTCATGCCAGACTTGGCAGACAAAATCATTGAACAAAGAGTCACAAGAAGCTCTCAAGATTCCTTCTCCAGTTTGGCTAATAAAATTCATAGTATGAGGAGCGGGCAGTCAGGAATCTGGAGCAGAGGGTAGTGTATCTGTTGTATCCCATGATGCTAACATATCAACTCCTGATGGCCAGGATGCTGTTAGAGAAACAGGTCTTGGTTACTTAGGACAAAACTTAAAGGTGACAATAAAATATCTAAGTAACATACTAGCTCTCTAACTTCAGACCAGGCTAGTGTACAAGTCTTAAGTCCTTAAGGCTACTTTTGGTTCTAAGAGAGGAGTGGGTAGAGTATCTCTGGCATGATTCTGAGCTAGCAATCTGTGCAAAATGCATTCTATAAATATATAGAATTAATGTATTTATATAACATATAAATATATATAAGTTCCCTCTGTAATGAAGAACTACTACAAATGAAGTCTCTAGACAATTCTAATGCTGTATTTTGTCTGTGCCCCGACTGTAAACTAGTTGAAGACAAGGAACATAAACCTGAAGTGCCCCCAAAGCTTTTACCATAATACCTTGTATTAAATTTAAAATAACAATTGATGGCCTGACTGACTGATCACATTGGGGGAAGGGAAAACATGAATTACAATATATGTTCAAAGACAAGAAGCAGGCCATACAGTGACTGGAAAGGCCCATGTGGCGGCCACAAACAGGACTGTCTAACACTCCCTGGCCAACCATGGACTCAGTATTCACTGAATCCCTACTGGACAAGAAAGCTCAGATCCTGGCAAAAACATATGGTGCAGTCAGCTCTTACTAGATATGACAGTCTACAAGGCATCAAATGCTGGGAATCAGAAAGAATGATAAAGCTAAAGTAGAATGATGTGAATAAAAACTGAGTTCAGAATAATGAAATACAAACTTCATCTAGAAGAAATGAGGAGCAACTAAAAGCCAAAATCAAGTAAAAGTTGATGTAACAAGAAATATCCTATACTTCTATTTCTTACACTGTTCACTGAAAAGTTTTACTGGAGCTTAGAAATGATTAGGCCAAGGTGAGAGCGATGCTTCATAGCTGGATTTTCCATTTTAAGTGTACCAACTCTAAGGATATGTTAAAGCTAAGTGAAAGTTGGATTGGAGTTTCCCCTGGTCCAGTATGAAGTGGACACCAGGCTGAGCAACAGCATTAAGGTGGTTTCTTCAGATTTAATTCCAGCTCCGAGGCGACTGTTTTGATACTAAGTTTGTGACAACCTTTCTAAACCTCAATTTTCCCATTCACATAAGAGGGCAACGCAGGCTCCTCTCATTAATTTCACGAGGCGGTGGTCTGATACAAAATAGAGAAGAGTGCTGTCAGAATAAAAGAACACCAAATTAACATATTATTATTGCTATTACAGATCATTACCGGCTAGGATGAAGCTCCCCACACAAGAGATGAAGCCCGAAAGAAAAGAGTTGAAGGGGAAGGTCCCCACGAGGAGACAATAACCGAATTGCAGCGCCCCGGTCAGCAGTATATACAGGAGGTACGCGTCCAGCAACTTCAGACGCTGCGGAGTGGAGCTCAAGTACTCTTCTAAGAACCGCGAGATAACCGACACTACCGACGCCGACATGACTACCGTAACGGTACTCCGGCCCGCACGGTCCAAACTCGCAGAAGACTCCACCGGATGTAGCGCCAGCGCATGCGCGCAGCTCTAAACCAGCTCCGAACCCGCCCCGCCCCCCGCCCTATTATTCCTTTGCGCAGGCACAACGCGCGAAACAACTAATGCGCAGACGCAAAATACAATCTGCCGCCTACGATCAGAAAGACTAATAGGCCTGCGCAATGGATCTGAGCATGAGCAGGAGACGTGTACTCTTTTTGTCCTATTTCCGCCATAAGGTTGGTGATGCTCTCCTTGTTGCTCTAGCAACAAGATACCGTGGGCGGTAGAGGCGTGGGGGTGGGGTTTTACAGCCCACAGCTAAACTAGCCGAGGGTTCCGCCCCTTTGATCCACTTAACGGCCTGGAAGTTAGTTTGGGTCTGTTCTAAGGCACTGCGTGTTCGTCCTCACGTTCAGTACCAGCTCGGCCCTAATTCTGTGGCGAGAGGAAAGCAGTCGATTAACGTACGCAGAGTTTATATGATAGGTTTAGCAGAATTCTACTCCTAAACTGGCGTCTTGAACCCCGTGTGGTGTAATATCCTAGGATATCAGCGCTGAAAGGCATGCAAGAGAATTCCCTAGTCCAAACCCTACCCTCTCCCATTCATTTTGCAGAGAAACCAAAGGTTTGAGGTTTTGAATTTGAACAAGTGGATTTAACTAGAGTTTTAACTTTTTTAAAAATTAGGGACCACCTTAATTTCTGGCTTTCACTGCCCTTTTAATTATAATCTGACCTTCCAGACCTAGGAAGGTCTCCCCTTTCAGCTGCAAGTCCCACATAACCAGGTACTTTTTCAACTTATTAATAACTTTATCCTACATACTCAAGCAAAATTCCTAAAGTAGCAAGTGAATGACAACGTTCCTTCATTTTCATTTTGTGTATTTAAACTGGGTACTACGTCAACATCAACAAAAGTATTTAATCAGTGGTGAGCAAAGCCTTGCTTCGGTTCTAGAAAGAAGAGAAATGATCCGTGTTCTCAGAATGCTTTACAATCTAAGAGATATATTCATATTCACACCCACAAAGATTTGTGCTTCTGTGTGAACTTAAGTTCAGCCTAACCTCCTATGTTGCTGAAAGGAGGAGGAAAAAAAGGATAAACAAGCAGGGTCCTATTTAAACATAATAAGGCAGAAGCATCAGTTTCTCTGACAAGGTGAACTTTTCCCCCTGCCTCATCAGCAAGTAGAAGGGTAGCGTCCTCACTGGTACTCATCTTCAAACTTTAAAGGCTAGACTGATGCTTTTTAAACATTCAGGAGTGGATTCCTCAGGGGGGTTCTATTTCATCAGCCAGGCTCCTTCCAGCAGCTTCTACCTTATGTTTTGTCTGCCTTTGATCAGTGTCAACTATCATCATTAGCATCTTCACAGAAATTCCCAAGGGGAAAAAGAAGAGATGAAAAACACCCAAATTCATTTACCGAATGCATCCTTTTCTGAGATCTGCAAAGTTAAAAATTAATATAATGAACTAAAGCTTTTCTGGACTACTTAAAACAGCAAGAAAAGGCCTTGTTCTGTATTTAGTTTATAATTCTATAATCATTGAAACATTTTTGATCTGTCAGTAAGAAATTGCTAATAGTCATGTTGATTTCAGTAGTTTAAATCAATATTAGTACGTGTAGAAATTCATGTAGAGTACTGGATAAAAGTGCAAAGCACAAGATTGTCTGTAGAGTCATACAATCCTGGGTTCAAACCTTGATATAGCTGTTTACCAGTCTTGTGATCCAGGACAAGTTAGTAAGTCTGACAGACTCATTTCCTTGTCTATAAAATAGAAATACCAGTACCTGTACTGTCGGGCAGCTGCATCTGGGGAGGTTTCTCCTTGTGCACTAGGTGAAACCTCAACCTGGACGGGAGAGAGTTCTTGACTCTGAACAAGAAAGAATCCTCAAACAGGTTGGGCAACTGTAGGTCAAGAAAATTAATTAAAACAAGAGTAATAGTGAATGGCAGCAGCTGTGCAGGCAGCTGAGAGCAAGGAAGAGCAGAGGGAAGAAAGGGAACCTCATTGAACTCTGTTTGGCATGAGGCAAATCCCTTGCCAACTTCTGAAGCCAGAGTCACCTGGTGTCCAGTGTCTGCTTGAATCTGCAGGGTGTGGGAAATAAGCCCCTACTACCTCAAGATTTTGGGGAGCCACAGAGCACTGGATGGAGTGAGATTATGTTCTGAGAACTTTCCAAAGGCAAAGAAAAGAGATTTGGGGGCAGACTACTAAAGACCATGATCATACAGCTGCAGTCCTGTCCAGGTCACCCAGGTGATGGAAACTTGGAAGCCCTAATCAGAGATCTCAGTAGCCCTTCCCTACATTCCTGAAGTAGAACAGAGAGGGTGAAGACTTGTGCTTAAGATAGAAAATATAATGAAATTATAAAGTAACAAAGACACTTACCACAGGAAGAGCACAGAGACAAAACGCCATAAGTTGATCAGTGAAAAGTCTTTATTTAAGGCAAAAGTACACACTTGAAGAAAAGGGAGTGTGGGCAGCCTCAGAGATGAGGAGCACTTAAGGGCTTAGGATTCTGTCTTTTAAGGCTTTCAAGAATAGGGCAAAGTTGTGGAGGGGGCATAGGCTGACGTGATCTCATGATGTCTATCTCTAGTGGCAGACATTATGTCATTATCCATAGTCCTCTAGATGTTCTTTCAAATAAACTTAATACAAAGAATTTCTTGATCCTGTTCTTCTCCAAGATAGTGGTTACCCTCAAGCAGTGGGGACATATCATTTAGGACTACTTGCCCTGCCTTAAGATAGGGTTGGTTATTGTCTGATTACCATAATGTATGTTAGGAATCTTACCTCCTAACTTCATGGTTTTTAAAATGGAATCATAGCCTTAAGATGGAGTCCCTCCTGTTCTTTCTATACTGTCCATATGTATCTTGGCATTTTTCATCATAGTCAGGAAAAATTAATCGTGATGGTTGTTGCATGTCCCTGCCCTGCCTCACCTGGATCATTCGAATGTTGAGAGGATTAAATGATATAATGTTAACATTAAGACTTAAGAGTACTTGACACACAGTAAATCTTCAGTAAATATTTACTCTTAACAATCATTAATCCTAATAATTAACTTCTGCTTTCCCTATTTCTCTGAATAATTAAAAGTTGGGCAGACCCAACAAAAGATGGCACTGAAGGGACTACAATTCAAATGGCTCTCAAAGGGCAAGTCAGATATGTAAGTGGAAGGTGAAATCAGAGTAAACCTTAGGAGTTTTATTGCTAAAACACTATTGGAGAGGAAAAACTGTTTTCCCTTTACCCATCTTAGGTTTGTTGGCCCTGTAATTAGACTGAGAAAAGACAAATTAACAAGAGAAAACAAGCAGAAGTTTATTAACATGTATCACATATACACATGGGAGTACTCAGTTATGAGTTACTCAAAGGGATGATTCAAACTTGAGCTTGTATAATGCTAAAAAATAATTCAACTGAGTACATGTTTTATTCAATGATTCATGAATCAGGCAGCATCCAATCTAGCAGACAGAAAGAAGCTCTAAGGAGCTGTACAAAATAAAAGATTTTTATTGGCAGAAGGGAGTGGGAGCAAGGAACTTAAATTAGACACAAAGATTGGTTATGGCAAGGTCACTTTAAGAGATGGTGGGATCTGTCAGGCAAATTACCTACCTAGTCTTGATTGACTGGTTTAAGATTCCATTTTTGGGAGAGCCAAAAATGTAATCAAGCTTCAAGTTTGGTGACATGGGGCTTAGCATAAATGACACTGTTTGGGGCCTTTTACTGTTTTTAACAACAGCATCTTAACAAAAAAGGCAATACATTTTTAGAGAAGTGACAAGACAAAGGAAAAGGACTTTGAGTTTCTAAGGGAGCAAACTATGGGAAGGTAAAATATATATGAGGGAATTAATGAAAACTAACGGCTAGCTAATGAAGTTTGTTATGTAGATTTCCCCTGGTGCTCCCTGATAAGGATCCAGAATTATCTACAGTGATTAACTTCTATCTTTCCTGGACATAATCAAGCAAAGGCTCTGATTTTAAAGTGTCTCTCTACAATAAAAACTGACAATCTTTCAATACAAACTTCTAAAGAACAAGACTCTCCTTAAGAAAATCTCTGCATAAAAAAGAAGAGTCTCTTTTCCAATTCATTTCCCTTGTATTTTCACTTTCTCCTTCATATGCCTCAATTTGCTTCCCTCTACTATTGCATGTAACAGTGCCATCTTTTAAACTTTAGCCCCAGGGTGGCAAAAAAAAATCCTTTCCTTGTGTGATATTGTAATATAAGAAATGTATATTTGGTCTTCATCCCCAGTTCCTGGCACAAAGCTCCTAAAACCCTTGTAATTTTCTAAGTGATAAGTGCTATAGGAGCATCTTTTGTTATATTTGGTTTCGTTGCCAGTTTCTGATACAGCCCCAAAGCAATAAAGGTGAAAGGAGAGTCTTCTGTTATTCATAACAAGCCCCTTTCAACCACACTCGAGTTTATGTTAATAAAGTGACTTTTGGAAAGCCCCTAAGGGTAGGGGCTGGTTGCCAGGGGAACCTGTATGATTCCAGGGTTCAAACCTTTAACCCTAACCCACCATCTTTAGGGAGGAGAGAGGGGCTGAGATTGAGTTCAGTCACCAATTATTTAATAAATAATGGCTGATTATTTAATAAGTCATGCTATGTAATGAAGCCTCCATTAAAAAAAAAAACCCTAACCAAAAGGGTTTGGAGAACTTATGGGTTACCGAACACATCCAGGTGCTGGGAGGGGGTTGTGCCTAGAGAGGGCACGGAAGCTCTGTGTCCCTTCCCCCCATACCTTGCCCTATGTGTATCTTCCATATGAGTGTTCCTAAATTATATCTTTTATAATAAACCAGTGTTAAACAAAATTCAACTGAGTAAAGATCTAATTGGCTTTATTCAACAATTATTGAATTAGGTAGCATTTCATCCAGCAAATATAAGAAAGCTCCAAGGAGTTATACAAAATGGAAGATTTTTATAGGTAGAAGGAGGGTGGGACAAGGAAGTTTAAAGACTGGATTATTTCAGGCAAGGGTATCTTCCCTTAAGGGGAGACAGGTGGTTTTATCAGGTAGATGACCTCACAAGTGCTGACCAGGAAACTCCAGACTGATAGGTTTAAAATCCCATTCCTCTGAAGAAGTTGAAACTGCAATTAGGTTAGGTATTAAGTCATGGTAGGGGTTAGCAACATGATTTCATTGTGGACCTGTTGTTTCTTTTTAACACCAGTAATCTAGTAAGTAAACTATTTTCCTGGGTTCTGTGAACCATTCTAACAATTATCAAATATGAGGAGGGCATCATTGGAACCTCCAATTTATAGCCATTCATCAGAAGCATAGGTGATAACCTGCACGTGCTATTGGTATATGAAATTGGGGAGTGAAACTGGGGCCCTTAACCTGTAGAGTCTTTACTAAGTCAGGAAAGTTAGTGTTAGAACTGAGTTAAACTGTAGGACACCCAATTGGTGTCAGCCAAGAATTAGAAAACTGTTGGTGTAGTATAGCTCCGGGAGGAAGGGGTTCCCCATCTTGAGCAAGTTCTCTATAAATTCAATCAGACTGAAGAAAAGCAAGGGCAAGAACCTGGCAGTACAGAGGTTCACCACATTTACTCTCACAGCAGTGGCAGACAGCTCAGTACACAAGACTGGCTCGAATGTGCTCCCCAGACCAGCTACAGGGTCTGCTCTGCAGCACAAGCTCAATCCTCTAGGCAGTAGTATCTCATTCTCTCCTTGCTCCCTGACCTCCAGGCTCCCTGCTCCCACACTCGGGCTTAATTCTCCAGGAGCACCGGACCCCACAGCTTCCCCCCTCATCCACTCTCCCAGTTGCCCAGCTCCCTGCACCCACGCTACAGGAGCATCTCTTGTGTGCAGGTTCCTGGTGACTGGTGGATGCCTAACCAACTACATATCAGAAGCACAGGCAGAGGAGAGAATGGATGTTTCCTCTCTACCCCTCCTCTGGGCAGGTACTCCCGTGACTGACCAGTGGTTCTGTCACTGGCAAATATCCCATAAACGTGCAAACATGCTATTATTATATACACAATGAATGCTATTAAGGCCAGGCAGAAAGTTCCATTTTCCCCACGTGTGGGAAAACCCACACATTTATTGTCAGAACTGTTGACAGGAATACAGAAAAAGAAATATTTTTTCTCATACCTTGGTTTCTAATAGAAGAGATTAAATAGTTTATTATTTGCAGAAAGAAAGTTTTAAGAGGAATCAAATTGCTAACAGCATGAAGTCAAATTTCTAACATACCAAATTTCTGATCTGGTCCTAGTAAAGCAGCACATATCTTCAATAAGCCAATATCTCTTCATCCTAATTTAATTGCCCTTATAGTCCCTGATAGAGTAGAAGGACTTTTCAGGCTCCCTTGTTTGATTTCCTTGTTCCTAATCTTTGGGAATCCCATAAAGAGAACCCCTCAGCCTTCCTTCCTGGCATCCAAGAGAGAATCCTCCATATTATCCTTTCCAAGGGTGAAACACTGCACAACATTGGCTGAAATATCACTGCTTGAGCAACACTGTCCAATAGAGATTTCTGTGATGATGAAACTGTCTCTGTGCTGTCCAATATGGTACCACTAGATATGTGTGGCTATTGGGCACTTGGAATGTAGCTAGTATGACTAAGGAAATTTCATTTAATTTTTATTAATTTAAATCTAAGTAGCTGCATGTCGTTAGTGGCTATCATATTGAACTGAGCAACCCTAGAGCTATTCCATTCAGTTCCTGTGTTTAATCTAAGGGTCACACCTTGTTCATAGTTCATTCAAAAGGCAATAGCAAGCATTTGAAACCAAAGAATGATCTGTCCCTGCCAAACCTGAGCTACCGGGTTATCAGCTCCACCTATTTCTGGAATTTTTAATGTGACTTACAGGTAAAGGAAAGAAGGTGTATCAAAATTAGTTTCCATCTATCATGACCATATTAATAGCTTAATCTTACAAAAAAATCACACATTTGGTGGTAGAAGGAAGATGTATTCTTTCATACTTACATAGAGTGAGCCTTGCATTGAAGATGAGAAAAAGGTCCTTTCATTTCTCCCAGAGGTCTCCCTCGAGCAGGCACTGAGAGGCTTCTCCACTCTATAATTCTAGCAGATCCAGCCCAATCCTGAGATATCCCAGCTCTGAGGACACATTAAGGAATCTATTAACTTGGGCTATAAAAAACATTTTCCATACATTCAAGTTTCCTACTTCCAAGCAACCTCTACTGTAAAGCTGGTTTGGCACTTGGTAACAAAGTACAAATGTGTCTCACAGGTAGTGACTCTGTTGCATCTTACTATACTGATGGACAGTGACTGCAATGGGGTATGGGTGGGGGACTTGATAATATGGGTGAATGTAGTAACCACACTGGTTTTCATGTGAAACCTTCATAAGAGTGTATATCAATGATACTTAATTTTTAAAAAATGCTCCTCTGCACTGTCTCCTGAGATGAGGTCTAGAAAGATCAACCACCAGTTCCATGCAGGTCATCCTCACCTCAAAAAGTTCTACGTCTTACAGGTTTTAAGAAAAGTGGGAGATTTTATTGCCCTGTCTCAGAGTGCAGTACCTTGGAATTTCCTATATGGTTACAATTTAGAATACAGCTCCCAAAGCCCTTGACACTTAGCACGTTGTTTTATAGGTAATTGTTTATACACCTGCATCCTTGCTAGACTTTTCATCCACTTATTTGCCCAGTAAATACTGAGCATCTGCTCTGTGCCACACCCTGTTCTACGTGCTGGCAACCAAAGCAGAGAAGTAAGGTCCCCCATGAACCTTAGGCCCTAGTGGAGGGAAACTGATGATAAATGAGTAAACAAGTATGCAGGATAATTTCACATAGTGTAAGTGTTATGAAGAAAATAAAATAGAGCAATGTGATAGAGTGGCTGGGGGTCTCTTTTAGATCCTGTGGTCAGGCAAGACTTTAGAAGAGGGGAAGTCTAAGCTGAGCTCCAAATACAAAGTTGTCAGCTCTACAAAGGGACAAACAGCCCAGGGTGGCAGCAGATAAACTCTAACACTAGAGCAGGCTATTTCTTCTGAGTCCTGCAAGACACTAAAGAAAAACCTCTCCACACCAGCATTGTCCCACCACTCCCACCACCCTCCACCACCCTCAGTCTGGTTTTAACCTAACCAAGGGGATGACCTAAAATCTGACATTTCCAGGGACCTTGGTTACCAATTCAGGTAAATTCTGGAGCCAGCCTCAAGATTTGGCTCTTCTGCTGAGCAAGCTAGTCACACACACCACCACCAAGCTGCCACACCCAACTCCAGCTACCTAAAGCAGACCCAGCCTTTTAGGTAAGTTAGACCTTCAACTGCCCCTCTAGAAGGGTGGGGAGGTGGGGATCCTACAGCAGGAGACCTGGGTTAAACTATGGCTTCCCTGGAAACTAGGCTGGGAAATCTCCAGAGCAGAGGAATTGTGTCTTGGTATATGTGGCTTAACTATAGGGTTGCCAGTTAATGCACAGGATGCCCAGTTACCTCCCAACTATTCCATGGGACATACTTAACCTAAAAAAAAGTATTTGTTGATCTGAAATTATACTTTAACTAGGCATCCTGTTTTTTGTGTGTGAAATCAGGCAATCTATTTGGAGTATACAGGCCCTTTGTAGGAAACTTCAACCAGTGGTGGTGTGTCCACAAACGTCTTAAACATCTGATTAGAAGGAACTGTAAGGGGAGAACGTTGGTGGGGAGGAAGCTATTAATAGGTAGGGTAGCCGCCGCCTGCAGGGTAGTTCTGTCACTTTTCGATTATGAGAGACTGGAGGGCTGATGGGGCTCCTTTGAGGGACCGGGTCGTTCAGTACTACTCATCTCCCTTAGTGTTCCCCAAGTGAGTGCCTGGGATTACCGGCCTAGCCTGTGAGGCCGCAGACAGCCCTCCGGGGGCCCTCGGGCCGGACGGCCCACAGCCCGGGTTCCCGAGCGCGCGGGTCTGTGCTGGGGACCGGCCTCTCGCGGGCGCTGGCCACGCCCCACTTTGTTCTCCGACCCGATTCTGGGTCAGCTGGTGCCGGCGTCAGGCGGAGGGATGGGCTGGCTCAGCTCGACCCGGCAGGGCTTGTTTACAATGGCTGATGATCTGGAGCAACAGTGAGTTAATCCTGTATCTTTCTGTGTCTCTGGACAATGATCCTGGGACTGTCTGGCTGAGGAACAGTTTTAAAACCTTCCCGCCTTTCCTTTTTCAGGTCGGCCTCAGGGGAGGGCTGGAAGTTGCGTTTGCTTGCTTTGCTTTTGCCTCTTTGAGGCGGCGGCAGAGTCAGGGGAGCGTTGCTGGATAAGCTTGCCCCGCAGCTCCGTGATTCTGACTTTCCACTTCAATTTCGTGATCGCAGCCTGCTCTTCTCTGCTCGCTGTACAGAGAGAATGGGTTTATTGGTAATGGCTCAAATCCCCCGAAGCAAGCCTGTGGGACGCGGGTGCCCGGCTGCTCGCCTGGATTTGCCCCTGGACGGTGGTTGGGGGCTGTTAGAAGAACCTCACTCAGCCGGGCAAGGGGAGGGCGTGGGAAGGAAAGGGCTCCACCGCGCAGCGGAGAGTCTGAAGTAGTGGGCTTGCCAGTTTCTTTAGCGCTCGCCCACCGGTACACTTACCCGCTTAAGATCCTAGTTGATAAGATAATGTTTTTAATAATCATAACGATACCCTTAATGCTGTGGTTTCAGAATTAGAACTTTGGGCTTTGCTACAGTCTCAAGGGCATCAGGTTTGGGTGCCAACCTGTAGGTGGTGTGACTAGCAGTTCGCAAGTCAGATAGCAAGGAAAAGTTGCTTCTAGAAGTATGACTCAGCTCCCAGCCTACCCTTGGTTTCACCAGAACAGGGCCTTTCCTGGATCCTGTTGTTCCCTCTTTCCAGAGCTGCAGAAACTAATTAACTATGACAGTAATAGCTTCCCGGGCTTGAAGGGAAGCTTCACTGCCCAGGAGAGTGTTGCTTTCTAAAGATGACTTTTCCAACGGGAAACTTACGCTGGCTACGGTGACTTGGGGAAACAATATTAGAGCTGGCAGAGATGGAAGACATTGGGTTCCTTTTCACAAATGCAGCCAGTGCCCATAGGAGTTAGGAGACTTGCCCAAGATCACAGAGGTCCAGAACAGGCTTCAGACCCTGCACAGAGCCCTTCTGCCTCACCCCTTATCACTTTAGAGGAAAGAGACCACCCTGTCCAGCTAAGTTCATAGCTAAGCTCTTCTCTGCTCCTTGCCTCGATTTCCCACCCCAGCCCTCACCTCAATACGATGGAGCAGATACAGTGTGCCAGGTACTGTTCCCAGTGCTTTACCTGTAACATTTTTGGTGAAGAAGAGAGGCAAAGTAAAGCTTCCCCCAAAGAATATCTGCTAAGCCACCCATGGTTCTGTTACATGGGACAGTATTTTTCCTGAGCACTGCTTTGGGCAGATTACTAGGCAGTTTGGGATCCAGATGTGATCTGACTTGTCACTGTCTCTGTGATGTGGAGAGAGTGTGTCTCCACTGGCAAAATTCTGTGGTCATGCTTCAAGCCAAGCAATTCAGTAGAGTATTAAAAGGGTTCAGAGTCTCCATAGGCTTGGACTGATTTAGACTGACAACATTCATCTGGCTAAAGTCATTAATGTGCCACTCTCAGCAGCAACCTCAATATTTTCTTTCAAGCCTCAAGCAGTCTTGAGAGTTGATACTTGGAAAATACAAGGAATGTAGATAGCTTATGATTTAGCTGGGAAAAAAACACATTTATTGGGAGTTTATCTTGTGCTAAGGATTAGCCTATGTATTTTAGATACATTAACTCATTTAATATTTGTAACAACCCTATGAGGTAGGTACTATTATTACTTTCCTTTTAAAGATGAGGAAACTGACACAGGAAGGCTAAATAATGTGCCCAAAGTCACATTGCTCGTATGTGGCAGTGCCAGGATTAGAATGAGCTTTGGACTTTCAGAAAACAGAGCCAAGTATCAAAATATGGTTATATACTCTAAGTATTCATATATGGCCTTGAAAACCTGAAGCTGGAACATCCAGAGGAAAGGTATGGAGAAATCAGGATTTGAGGTTAGGGTTCTAGTTCTTTTTCTAACTAGCTATATGACCTCTTAAGGCATCAATTTGTTCATCCATGAAATAGGCTGGACCAGACGATTTCTAAGGAACCACCCTCATCTAAAATTCTGTGCTTTAAGTGGTGTAACAGAATGCCCAGTGTGTGCCGAGGATGGGGTTGGTAGTGGTTACCCTTGTTCTCCCACGGAATGCCCCTGCTTGACTGTGCTGATGTTCACAGGCCCTTCCTGTAGCTGGTAGTGGCCGTCCTGTAATCCCCTTCATCTAGGAAGAGTTTAAGAAAAGAGAAATATATGGGTTGGAAAAAGAATGATAAAAACTCATTCACTGAGCATCCAGTTTGTCCTGGGTACCTTATGAGGTCCCTTACATAGCTAGATGCTTAAATACAGGTTATTTAAGTGGCCAAAGCCATTCTGTTAGTAAATGATAATGCTGTGACTCATCCAGAGTTTTCTTTTTTATTTCAAAACTGGTGCTTTCAACCTCTACCCTGCAATGACTTAAAAGTCCCCTGCACAGAAAAGAAAAAGAAGGATAGGTTATACATATATGTTTTATTACATGCCATTAGAAGTGAGGACATATTTGAGCTTTCTACTCATTTTATAATCTGGAAGACAAGGCCAGAGGCAACCTGTGTCCTACCATTGAATCACAGGAGGACTTGAACTCAGGTCTCCCTCCTCCTGTTCCCTGTCTTTCCCATCGCCATGTTCAAAGGTGGACTGACTGATCACCTGAGAACCCAACTGGGCACTGACACAATGCTCTGTACTTCCAGGAGCCTGATAGAGGGCACACACAAACCCCAGTGCCCTGCCAGGAAGGCAGGTAGCATAGGAATTTGTCCTACTATAAAGGAACATTCAGTCCTGGGGATGGCAAAGGATAACTGAGACATTAGTTAATAGTTGGCTATTCTCCCTTAATCTCCTTAAACTTGGTGATAACCCCTAACAAAGAAGAGCTGTAAACTCAAATGAGCTAATAAATGTAAAAGAGCTCTGTAAACTGGAAAGAGGTGTGCACACGGTGGTCTGAGTATCTGTTGAAACAAAGGGCATATTGTTGTTAATAACCGTTTACCAGAGAAGAGTAACAGTCTGTAGGCAGCAGGGAATTGCTGACTGCTGTAGCGGCAGCTCTCCTGAGCCTGGGAAGTGCCATGCACCCTGATAACTCTTTTGTAACTGTCAGCAAGGCTGAGAGCATCAGTGTTGCCAATGAGTATCTCTGTGTCTCATTGTCCCAGGCCTCAAGGCTGGCTGAGTAGCTGGCTGCCTGCTTGGCGCCCTACTTCAATGTCTCAGCTGAAGAATGTGGAAGCCAGGATCCTCCAGTGTAAGTAGAATGGATGGCTCGTCTCAGCAACCTCAGGAGGCCCAGGCAGGATAGGGGATCTTCCCAGAGCCTGGTACACCGAGCGCACTGAGTCCTCTCAGCAGTGCTGGGAGTGGAAGGAAGGAATGTCAGGGACTTGAGGGAAGAGATCTGCACAGAGGATGCCATTTTCTGTGATAGCAGTTCCTTGACATCTCCCTACCCATCATGCTAGTTGCTGCCTCAAACTGTATACCAACTATTAATACACAAATATACACATTCTCTCCTTCCTTCTTCCTTCTCCCCCATTCCTCTCCTCTCCCTTTTCTACTGCTTTCTTCTTCCAAACACAAGCACATCTTAGATTTACCACTTCCGTACCCAAGGAACAGCTGTCCTGTCTCTGACATTATTACCCTTCCATGCATTCTACCTAGTTAGGCTCCACCACTTCCTTGGTTACCACAGTGGTTTCGGACTCTCACAGACCAGCTCTCATGGGCAATATTTTGTTGGGCCAGGGCATCCCCATGAATGGCAGCAGCCACTCGCATAAACAAGACTCTTGGGCCACATCTACCCATATTGCCCACAGGAGCTTCCTGCCCTGCACCTTCCACCCCAGCCATGGCTTCCCTGTCTCCTATGGGCCTGAGTCAGTATAGCCACAGAACAGCCCCAGCCTTCATGCTTCTGTCCATGATCCTGGTGACTTCCCCAAGGCAATTCTGTCACATGCCTGCTGTCTTGCCAGCAAGTCAACCACCACCTACCTCAGTCTGTCTCTTAAGAGGAATAAGCCTGTGGCTCAATCCATACCCATCACTTCCTCCACCTGGCTTGACTCCAGTCAGAAGCTACCCTCCCAGGCACCTTCAATGAGGACACTTCTGTCCATCTATTAAGCCCCAAGCACACACAGGGATAAGAGAAGCAATGGATGCAGGAGCTTACGTGGTCAGTGAAGTCACTGGCACCCTGGGCCCAGAGGGAGCCCCTCTTATTACTTACAGACTAGATGGTCTACAAATGGTGCTTAGAGTTAAACTCTTCAGGTGTATGGTCACAGGGTTGTGAAAGAAAGAGGTGAGGGGGGTCAGGACAGGTTTGGCACTGGACAAAGAAAGCTGAAGAGTGGTAGTTCAGGCAGAATGATGGCACTTTCAGAGAACAGTCTTACTGCTTCCCTCTCCCTAGGTCTCCAGAACAAATTCCTGGCCCGATATGTGTCCCTTCCAAACCAGAACAAGATCTGGACAGTGACTGTGAGCCCAGAGCTCAGGGACCGCACCCCCCTTGTGATGGTGCACGGCTTCGGGGGTGGCGTGGGCCTCTGGATCCTCAACATGGATTCACTGAGTGCCCGTCGCACACTGCATACCTTCGACCTTCTTGGCTTCGGGCGAAGCTCAAGGCCAGCATTCCCGAGGGACCCGGAGGGGGCCGAGGACGAGTTTGTGACTTCAATAGAGACATGGCGGGAGACCATGGGGATACCCAGTATGATCCTCCTGGGGCACAGTTTGGGAGGATTCCTGGCCACTTCTTACTCTATCAAGTACCCTGAAAGGTAAAGTCTAGCCACTCTTCTCACTCAGGACCTAGCTCCTTCCTTGCCTTGCTGGGAACCAGAAGTATCCAGAAATTCCTTCCAGTGTTAGTTTCTAATAATTCTCTTCTTTGTGGTCCATTCAAGGAGTACCTCCAAGCACATACAGTTTGCCTTCTTTTCTTCCTTTAGAGTTAAACACCTCATCCTGGTGGACCCATGGGGCTTTCCTCTCCGACCAACTGACCCCAGTGAGATCCGTGCATCTCCAACCTGGGTCAAGGCTGTGGCATCTGTCCTAGGGCGTTCCAATCCCCTGGCTGTTCTTCGAGTGGCTGGGCCCTGGGGTGAGTAGCGTGCAAATAAAGAAACCATCTTCTTAAACCAAGGCTGTCCCATTCTAGAAGCCCCACTGTGTGTGGACTCCAGCCATCCTGTTTGTGCATGAAAAGTAAGAGCAGGCCTAGCATTGTGACTTAAAGCTGTTAATCTGGACCAGGTCTCTTTATGGTTGCAGAAGGTTCTTTTTTTTCCCCCAGCTACACAGAAAAAGCTTTCTATGCAGGAGACAGATGGAGTAGAACTTCAACTGACCCCCAGAAGGAAAGAAAGGGGCCATGAAGCAACTCTTCACCAAGTTCTTACTCTGAATATATGAGTTTATGGCAGCCTGTTGGTGATTCAGCACGCTAACCACCCCTGAATCCCATCTCTGCAGCTCACCCAGCACCTGCAGCGGGAAGATGTCAAAATCAGAGCCTCTAATAAGCCCGCAGTGGCAAGCAAGCCCCTCTAAACTATGTCCTGCTTAACTTAGGCACCACATCTTCACCACTTAGAAGCTGTCAGCAAATTCTGTGGGTAAAGGAAGGGTAAGAAGTCACAGGGAGCTAGCCAGAGTAAGTAGAAGTAGTAGCCTTCTGACCTCACTGCCAGCACTTCCTTTCTGGGGAGCTTTGTTCTCTGATGAAGGGAAATCCCTGGGTGGAAAAGATTGGTGACCTCTATCTTGCACTGATGACTTACATATACATAATAATATTCAGTAGCCTATTATGAATTCATTGCTAATGACCAAATAAGAGTTGTTTCTCCAGGCCCTTCAAGAGAAACAGGATGGCTATAGATAAAAGAGAAATGAACATTTGAGTAGAAGGTAGGAGTTTGGGGAGAAAGGAAGGATAACATTAGACACAGGTGTCAAAGGAGAGTAAATGGGCAGAGTGCTGACCTGAGAGTTCCTAGCACTGTAGACCCCAGCAGACCCTCCAGATGCCTTTCCAGGAAGAAGCCTCACTCTAACCGCCCTCCCCTTTGGTGTTCTTGCATCTGGCCAAGTTCATGCATGGGCATCAGAACTAGTGTGATTGGGGCAGCTGGCTGGCAGCCATGGAGTAGGGCCAGGGCCCAGGGGATCTTGGCTCTGCCTCCCTCTCACCCTTTGCTCCTCACACAGAGAAGACCAGAAAAGAGAAGCTGATCAGTAGGCCCAACTTTTACAGTCTGTTCTGGGTGCCCTACTGCTCACATGTGTGCTGTGCAGAAAGGTGAAGGGAACAGGTGGCTCTAAAACAGTGCCGCAGAGCCAAGGTGCCAGTGTTAGGTTTGCCTCTCCACTCGTATTCTCTTTCAGGCCTGAACTTGAGAGGGCTCTTGGGAGGTAGTCTAGTTTCATCTGCCACCTTAAGATGATGTAAAGGCCATAAAGGTCTCAGGGAGAAAGAACATAGCTCAGACTGTAAAAGTAAAGCATCTCAGCCATGGACTCTTGTGGGGCTTGTGATCTTTGGAGGAAAAGACCTTGAGACTTCACTGAGCTGAAAACAGTCTAGTTCCTCCAATGACGTTAGACCATCATATAGTCTATGATAACCAGCTGACTCTCATTTGTAGTTACTGGAGCTTCCCAACAGACTCACATACTCTTCCTGCTACTGTAATATTAAACACACAAAGCAAGCAAACTCCTAGGAGAAATGTTTGATTAAAGTCTTAAAACATACATAGGCAGGAGTCTTTCTCCTCCATCCAAACCAGCCATTCTGTGTTTCTCTGTCTCCTCCCAGGGCCTGGCCTGGTGCAGCGATTCCGGCCAGACTTCAAGCGCAAGTTTGCAGACTTCTTTGAAGATGATACTATATCAGAGTATATCTACCACTGCAATGCACAGAATCCCAGGTAAGGGCAGCAATCAGAGCCAGCACAGGATGGGTGGATTTGGAGATGAAACTCCAGCTGCTGGAAAACTCCAGAACTGTCACACGATCATTCTCTGTGGTATTTCTTCTCATGCAAAGCTCTCGTTCACTTATGGGAACATAGGCATTAGCAGGCTTGATTAATTCCAGAGACTTCCTCAGGAGTAGGCAGAAAGGTATGGAGAAGATAATAGATGAATTAAGCATGTTTCCCATCTCTAGAGGAAGACCCTTCTTCCCTAGAGATAAGCAGTTACTCAGACAGGAAAGAGTCTGGAAAACATTGGGAAATATCTTTTTTTTAACTGAAAAAGTGATATGAACATATTTTCAAAAAAGCAAAGAAAAACTCATCTTCTGTCCCAGACCTGTGGTTCCCAAGTGTCCTTGTTCTTTTGTGTGAGATACCACTTGACTTTACTTCCAAGAACCTCCTTGCGCATCTTCATTGGCATACATGCGACTGTATCTATAGAATACATTCCTACAAATAGGATTGCTGACAGAAAGACATGCATTTTGAAAATTTAATTATGCACATCTTGAAATACTGTTGGGACAGGAATTCCTTTCATATATTTTGGAGATTTGGGGGTGTCTCTGGAATCTTGTGAAGTTCATATCTCTGACTACTTACACAGCAGGACCCCACAAGCCTGCTGACATGCAGTCTCTGCAGCTGAGAGCCAGGGCAGAGTCAGGGAGGTAATCATCCCCCCAAGGCAGTGCCTGTGAGTAGCTGATACCATGAGGCTGCATGGGTGGTACCACCTCTGCATAGGCCTCACCCAGGTTGCTGGGAAGCATCTCTAGGAAGCCAAGGCCACTGGGAGTGGCAGCTCCACCTCCTTCTAAGCTTGTCCAGGTCACTGGTGGTGAGCCCACTGCTGTGAAGGAGCTGGAGTTTTACATTCCAGCAGTCATGTCTGAACAATAGCCTACAACCCAGACAGCTTTGGGACAGCATGGAAACTGTATGTCCAACATTCCACATGAGCTCAGTTCATGAAGGGCCCCTTTTAGTGGCAATGTAGAAACACAGCTCAACAGTCAAATCAGGTAGCCCTGCCTCCTGCTCTTGGCTCCTCTCTCAGCGCCAGCAGGCTCAGTGCCAGTCTCATATCCACCGAGGCCCCACAGGCCCATCCCTAGCCTTCTCCTCAGCACTCTCCCCGATCCCAGGCCTAGTTCTGTATAATGAATGGCCTCCCGATCTGAGCCACAGAATTCATAATTAAGCAGCTCATTCATATCCTAGAGGAAGCAGAGGGGACATCAGTGATGACCACTCCCTTCCCCCAAACACCATCACTTTTATAATCCCCTGAGTGTTTCTGAGTTGTAACTTTAACAAGCTCATGGTTACTTAGCATTCCCTTGGAAAACACAAAATTTGGCTAGGGAAAAATATCTAGGGGCTACCTACTTCATTTCAGTTGATATTAGGGGCTTTGTATATTTTTTCATTTTCCCCAATGACCTAATAAAACAGGTATAATATCACTCCAATTTGTAGGTAGAGAAAATTAAGGTGTATTTTGGTTACCTGACTTACTAGGAAAACATAGCCAGGATTTGAGGTCACATTTCTCTGGTCCCAAAGTCCATGATTTTTCCGCTATGATGCGATGTCGTAAAGAGGAATTCTTTGCAGAACTTGGGCTCCCCTTCATCTGAGCAGTATTAGGGAGACTGGCAATACAATACCCAAACAGGAGAGCCTGAAAGGCAGCAGCCTCCTGAACTTCCCCTGCTTTCACAAAAGCTGCAGACCAGTCCAAAAGGCAGCTTCTGTCTCAGCCTTGCAGACCCCTCATGACATGGCCCCTGCTAGCTCAAGCTGAGAAAATGACCAGAGAGCAGAGAAGATGAGATGGGCAGTCATTGCTTTCCACATAGCACAGACTGCTGCTCCCCTGGGTCCTTGCAAAGCTGACGTCCCATGCCAGAGTGTCCTGAGGAAGCCCCTAGCACTACAGTAGTACTCACTGCCTGAGTCCACCTCACAAGCGCCTCGACCCTCTCTCCAACCCCAGCAGGCAGAGTCCCCAGTCTGTGTTCTCATAGCACCCTACCACCCTTTCATAATTCTTGGGAAGTGTGAAGTTAAATAATTAATCCTGTAATTTGTTATTAAATGCTTTCTTCCCTAAAGCATGAGCTCCTGGAGGACAGACACACATGTCCCCACACTCAGCCAGGGCATGACACATAAATATTTGCTGAATAAATATTAACCCACTGTGTTCTTGGACACTTCTCAGTGCTGGTGTTCACCGTGTCCCTACTTTTTTTGTGATAGGAAGCCTCTGGAGATTCAAACCTACCTCCTAATCTCCCCAGTATTTAACGAGTGCAGTGCTGGGCTCTCAGAGGAATACAGAGCTGACAAAGATACTGTCCGGCCTCTGAAGAGACCCACAAGTTGACATCTTATGCTGCAGGGTTCATTCTGTTGACTGCCTCCCTCTGTTTTGCTTGTTCAGTGGCGAGACAGCATTCAAAGCCATGATGGAGTCCTTCGGCTGGGCACGGCGCCCCATGCTGAAGCGAATTCACTTGATTCGAAAAGATGTGCCCATCACCATGATCTATGGGGCCAACACCTGGATAGATACCAGCACGGGGGAAAAGGTGAAGATGCAGCGGCCAGATTCCTATGTCCGAGACATGGTATGTTGGCCAGTCAGAGAGCAGGAATGAGATGGGAAAGCTGTGCCTGAAATGCTAGCACATGTTGGTTGGCTCTCAGCACAGAGAGGCCTTGGGGTAGAGTAGAGTGATCAGAGACGCGGGGGCTAAAGAGGAATGGGCAGATTGAGTCAGGCAGTGGATTTGAAAGGGTTGACTCTGTAAAATAATTAGGAGCTTCTCACTTTTGTGCAGCCTAGTTCAGCTAAAAGACAGGGACTTAGCCAGTAGCCAGGCACAACAATGCTGCCACTCCAGCCCCCTTGTAATTTCCACCCAAAACCAGAGCCATGAATGGTAGAGTGAGTAGTAGGGGCTGCCATGAAGCCTTCCCTTTTATCTTACCCCACTTCACCCTCGTTTGCTAATGAGCATGCTTAGTTAGGCTGGGTGCCATGTTTGGGACCAGCAAACCAGACCTATGGATGAAATGGGCAGATCAGTGGAGGGGCTAGCGTGGAAGGAAAGGTACAGCAGATGGCCAAAGGAGAGCAGAGAGGGGTACTGGGATTCACTAGTTCTCAGAGGGAAGTGCTGAGAACCTGGGAGAAAGGTGGACCTTTGTTTCTATTAGTGTTTATGGGTTACGGGCAAGCAGGTTTGGGAAAAGAAATGGTGTGGCAGCTTTCCAGTGCCTGGAATAAAGGCCTTCCCACCCCTGGCGCTTCCTGTCTCCACAGGAAATTGAGGGTGCTTCGCACCATGTCTATGCAGACCAGCCACACATCTTTAATGCTATGGTGGAAGAAATCTGCGACTCAGTTGACTGAGTGGCTCTCCTGGAAGAAGAAGAGAAAGCCAGAGAGTTGCTCTTACCTCTGTCTGCTTACTCACCCCTTTGTCCTTTCCTCACCAACTAACATGTGCCAGCCAGGCAGAGTCTTGGGCTGTCCCCACAGCAGGACCACAGGGAAAAGCACTCCTGACTCTACACCAGGGCTGGAGCTAGAAGCCACAAGGGGCCTCGAGCTCCCCACCTCTGGGAAGAACATAAAGGGTTATGTAGTGCCACCCATTCTTTCCATGCCAAGTGTCACCCAGATGGTTGTGAATGGATTCCACCGAGCCATGTTTCCTCCCTGTGCCAAAGGGAGGGAGGCTTCTCCTGCCCTGGGCAAAGGAGAGGCTCCCAGCAGCCTTTCCCAGCTCTGGAGTGTTTGTGGGAGTAGGTTCCATGCAAGACCATCTTCCTCTATCACCCTCTGGTCCCCATCCCATTCCTTCCATCCAGGGTCTAGTTGAGAACTGACTACCAACTACTAACTTCTTAACTACCAGGAGCAGGTCCTGGAGCTCCCTGGAAATACTGAGTGCCTCCCATGACCTGAGAGGTCACAGCCAAAGCTCTCATTAGTGGGTGAGGAACAGGCCAGGGCAGGACATGGCTGGCCTGTGGTGATACCGCTCTGTTCCAGGAGAGCTAAGGCTAGAACCCAGGGCTGCTGGCACCCAGTGCTCATTGCAGACTCTATTTGCTAAGGTTCAAGGCAGACACCATTGCCATGGGGCTGGTCCTGGTCACTGGCAAAGGAGAAGACCATCCTTGCCCTATATTCTAGCCCCATTGCACAGGGATGCTGTTGTCCTACTCTGTATCTCATCCCTGGCTGCCTAAGCTGGGGACATGCAAGTGCTTCCTTCCCTGCCCCCTCTTCCCATGTGGGAGATATCTGGGTCTCTCTCTCTGATAGTGCCTTGGGCCCTGAAGCCCCACCTGTAGTATAAAGCAAAGGTGGCCCCTGGTAGAGATAAGGGAAAGGCCCTTCAGCCCCAGGACTGGGTCTGGATTCTCCATTCCCACTAGTATCCATGGGATTTTCTACCTGCCCCCAGAGCTGAGGCCCACTGTGAGCCCCCTTGCCCATGGTCCAGTGGGGAGCCTTAGGCCAGCAGTTCCCTGTCCTCAGCAGCCAGAGGATAGTTCTCACTGCCTGGCCCTCCATCCCTGCCATCTGTCCTCATGGTTTCAAGTTCATCCCACCCCCAACCTCCCTGTCACTGTCTGCCAGGGGCTCCTTCCAGGTGCTGCTCTGAAGTTCTGGGCAGTAGGCTGGGCCTGGCCCCAGAACCAGGGCAGCTCCTGCCTGCTCCTTTTGTAAAGCCAACCCTTTCACCAGAATTGTATTAACTCCTGGTGCTTTATACTCTGGTCCAGCTGCCTTGGGCCCCTTTTCTATATTAATAAAGAAATGAGTAAAAACTGCTGGTGGTGATGATGTTAATACTGCTTCAACAAGAGTGCTGGGGGCTGGGGGGGATGTTTTGTCCACAAAAACCCATGTGATGCCAAAGTCAGAGAAGGGGTTTCTGAGGGGTGTCTACTCACTCCACTCCTTCTCTTGAGCATAGCATTCACCCTCTAGACCCAGCCCAGACTTCAGGTCAGCACAGGCCATCTCAGCCAACCACTCATAGGCAGATGAGTGTGGCTGGGACAATCCCCAGCTGCCCAGCTCAGAAGAGGATTCAGCAGGACTGGATGCTCTCATGGGCCCATTAGATAGCCCCATCTTCCAAAATTCACTCCACACAGCCTGCCCCTGTGCTGTCCCCCAAAGCCTGTTCTAACTCATTCTCTGGATCTCTGCTCAAATATTCCTTATGCAGGGAAACTCTCCTGACTCCCCAGACTAGATGTGGACCCTCTCTTCTGTGTCCCCATGGCACACTCAACTTCCCCTCTGTAAAACTCATAAATGTGTAGTCACTTGTTTAATGTCTTTGTCCTAGACCATAAGCTACTTAAGGACAAGGGGCATGTCTGGTACCTACTTCATGTTCAATAAATGTTTTGATGGAATCAAGAGGAGCAAGATCTGCCAAAGTGTTCAATTTATTACCCACAATAGCTTCTGTGCTGGCTGACTCCAGCTAGGCCCAGAATTCCACAACACAAAATGGCATATAATACTACATTTGCCACCCTCTGTCATATGGAGGAGAGGCAGGCACTTTGAGCTGACTGCACACCAAGCACTTTGGCACCAGTAGAGAAAACCTGTGGTCCCTGCCGCCTTCCTGGGAAATTTCTATTCTCTGTGGAGTCACACTTAATCCAGTTATTATGTAAATAAGTATAAAATTGCAACCAAAAGGGCTGTGCAAGAGAGGTTGGGAAGGCCTTCCTGCAGAAAGGAGAATAGCTGAGCCTGAAGCAAGGGCAGGTCAAGGGGAAAGGAGAGCAGTTTTAAGTGCAAAGTCCTGTTAGCAGGTTTCAATGGGCAAGGGAGGGACCCTGGGTCTCTGGCCAAGAGGAGAATGCTGTGTTCCTCCTAAAATAAATGGAAAGAAAAAGCAAAAAGTGAGGCTTCAGGGGTAGGGAGTGTGACAATCCAATATGAGACTTGAAATGACTTTCCTGGCTACTCTGTAGTGTACAGGTTGCAGGGGCATGAGTCCCTGCAGGGAAACTTTGAGGCCACTGTAGTGTCCAGGCCAGAGACACTGGTACCTTGGACTTGGCCTGTTGCTAGTGGTCACATGGGAGAAAGATGCAAGAAATGTTTAGGAGGTAAAATCCAAAGGATGTGGTGTCAACACTGAGTGTGCTACCGCCCCCTTGGAGAATGGGCCAAGTGAGTCAGTGGTCACCAAACCTGTTAACATACAAGCCAAAGTCTTTTTTGAAATACAGAATCCTGGGCTGTGTTCATCAGCACTTGATTCAACATATCTGGATGGAGTCTGACTGTGACATCTGCATTTAAGCAACATTCCATAGGAGATTCTGGAAGATGGCAGCATGAGTAGGGCAGTGGAAATCTCCTCCCAAAACCATATATATTTTTGAAAATACAACAAATAAAACTACGCCTAACAGAGAGACCAGAAGATACAGTACAACAGCCAGGCTACATCCACATCTGCAAGAACTCAGCATCTCACGAACAGGGTAAGATACAAAGCTGTGACCCAGCAGGACCCAAGCACTCCCCTCACCCCAGCTCACCAGTGGGAGGAAAAGAATCAGAGCAGGAAGGGAGTGGAAGCACAGGACTGCTAAGTAACCAGCCCTAGTAATCTTCACCAGGAGCACAGACACACATGGCATGGTGTACTGGATATTAGAGAAATGGAAAAGTAAAATCTGTGAACAGGTCCCCACAGTCAGCTCCCCTGGGACAAAAGAAAAGTGAGTGCTTTTTGAAAGTCTTAAAGGGACGGGCTTAACAGCTGGATGGAATCGTCCCACCACACTCAGCCCAGCAAGCTGGGAATCCTAAGGAACTTCAGCTGCCCCAACCCTCTGGGTGGCAGCACAGCTTTGAAGCCCATCACGGCAATAAGCAGCCTGCCAATCATTCCCCCCTGCTGGCACTGCCCTGCCACAGCAACCGAGCAGCCGGAGAGTGGCTGCACCCACAGCAACCACCCAGAGTCTCCTCCCAGCACGCAGCTGCCCGGGCCAGACCGAGAGGCTGCCACTGGCGCACAGCTGCCCGGCACAGACAGAAGAAGCTGGGGCAAGGCATGAAGGGGTGCCATTCTTGCAGGAGAGCACACCCAGTGCACCTGCCACTCCCGCAGGGCTCTGGGCTACCCCAAAGGCTTCCCTGCCCACAGCAGCTCAGGGAATTAACCCAGAGGCTGCTCCCGGGGTGTGGGTAACTGACACAGGCAGTGGAGAAGGGCAAGGTGACAAGCAACCAAGAAGAGACTTTGTTCTCCCAGTTGACCCACACTCCACCTGCCTATGACTACCTCTATCACCATGAAAAGGCAGAAGAATCTAATCCAGTTGAGAATCACCCAGACAATCCCAGAGAGGGGGCCTGGGGAGATAGATATAACCAGTCTTCCTGAAAAAGAATTCAAAATAAAGGTCATAACCATGCTGATAGACCTACAGAGAAATATGCAAGAGCTAAGGGATGAAGTCAGGAGGGAAATTACAGAAATGAAACAATCTCTGGAAGGACTTAAGAGCAGACTGGATGAGGTGCAAGAAACTGTTAATGGAATAGAAATCAGAGAACAGGAATACAGACAAGCTGAGGTAGAGAGAGACTAAAGGATCTCCAGGAATGAAAAAATATTGAGAGAACTGTGTGACCAATCCAAACAGAAAAATATTAACATTATACGGGTACCAGAAGAAGGAGAGAGAGAAAAAGGGATAGACAGTGTCTTTGAAAAAATAATTGCTGAAAACTTCCCCAAACTGGGGAAGAAAATAGTCTCTCAGACCATGGAAGCCCACAGGTCTCCCAACACAAGAGACTCAAGGAGGACAACACCAAGTCATAATAATTAAAGTGGCAAAGATCAAAGACAAGGACAGGGTATTAAAGGCAGACAGAGAGAGAAAAAAGATCACCTACAAAGGAAAACCCATCAGGCTATCATCAGACTTCTCTACAGAAACCTCACAGGCCAGAAGAGAATGGCATGATATATTTAATGCAATAAAACAGAAGGGCCTTGAACAAAGAATACTGTATCCAGCACGATTATCATTTAAATATGAAGGAGGAATTAAACAATTCCCAGACAAGCAAAATATAAGAGAATTTACCTTCCACAAACCACCTCTACAGGATATATTAAAGGGAATGCTCTAGATGGAAGCACTCCTAAGGCTAAATAAATGTCACCAGAGAAAATAAAGTCACAGCAAAGAAAGTAGACCAACCAAATACTAACTAAAGGCAAAAAATAAAATCAACTATCGACAAAAACAGTCAAAGGAAACACAAAAGAGTACAGAATAAAACACCTAACATATAAAGAATGGAGAAGGAGGAATAATAAGGGAGAGAAATAAAGAATCACCAGACAGTGTCTATAATAGCTCAATAAGTGAGTTAAGTTAGGTAGTAAGATACTAAAGAAGCTAACCTTGAACCTTTGGTAACCACGAATCTAAAGCCTGCAGTGGCAATAAGTACATATCTTTCAATCATTACCCTAAATGTAAATGGACTGAATGCACCAATCAAAAGACACAGAGTAATAGAATGGATAAAAAAGCAAGACCCATCCATATGCTGCTTACAAGAGACTCACCTCAAACCCAAAGACATGCACAGACTTAAAGTCAAGGGATGGAAAAAGATATTTCATGCAAACAACAGAGAGAAAAAAGCAGGTGTTGCAATACTAGTATCAGACAAAATAGACTTCAAAATAAAGAAAGTAACAAAAGATAAAGAAGGACATTACATAATGATAAAGGGCTCAGTCCAACAAGAGGATATAACCATTATAAATATATATGCACCCAATACAGGAGCACCAACATATGTGAAACAAATACTAACAGAATTAAAGGAGGAAATAGAATGCAATGCATTCATTCTGGGAGACTTCAACACACCACTCACTCCAAAGGACAGATCCACCAGACAGAAAATAAGTAAGGACACAGAGGCACTGAACAACACACTAGAACAGATGGACCTAATAGACATCTATAGAACTCTACATCCAAAAGCAACAGGATGCACATTCTTTTCAAGTGCACATGGAACATTCTCCAGAATAGACCACATACTAGGTCACAAAAAGAGCCTCAGTAAATTCAAAAAGATTGAAATCCTACCAACCAACTTTTCAGACCACAAAGGTATAAAACTAGAAATAAATACTACAAAGAAAGCAAAAAGGCTCACAAACACATGGAGGCTTAACAATATGCTCCTAAATAATCAATGGATCAATGACCATATTAAAATGGAGATCCAGCAATATATGGAGACAAATGACAACAACAACACAAAGCCCCAACTTCTGTGGGACACAGTGAAATTAAGTCCTTTCTGTCCTTTTCAGGATTAAGCTATTCTTTCATGAAAAAATTCTGATATGATAAAACTGTCTTGGGGTAGGAAGGAATGTCATTTCATGTTGCCAAACACATATATTTCAGGGATTTTTTTCCCTGAAATTTTAATTGATTTTAATAAAATCCTGAAGTCTGGGAAGTGCTGCATTATAGAAAACCAGAGTGGGAAAGGAACTTGAATTTTATCACAAGAAGATAACCAGATGATGTGGAGGTCCTGACTAGAAGGTGAATGTGGAAAGATAACATTGTTCAGAGGAAGCAGATTTAATTCAAGTTTCAACTGTAGTGTATGTGTCAAAAAGAAATTCAGAAATCACAAAACTGAAAATGAAGACATTTGGATGGGGATAAAAGAAGAAGTGAATCCAGACATATATTTCTTTATTTGCTTATACCTTCAGTAGACCCTTCCTCCAGA